AAGCGCCATCTATCTCCGCCAACGACGCGCCCCATCGCCCAAAGGGACGCGCTTTTCTCTGCGGCCTCTCAACTTCGACGCGCCCCACGCGCACCCACGTTCTCGTGACCGCGGCCGCAATAGCCTCCCCAGCCCCGCCCCCCGAAGCCTGCGAACCCGCGAAGCCCAGCATCCTCTCAGCCGCGCAATCGCCTCCGCCATTACGCCTGCCTGACCCGCTGACGACCGTCCCTCCCTCTCCGGGCCTCCGACCGCCCCCTCCCCTTCTCTTCCATCTTCCATCTTCCATCTTCCATCACGCATCATACTCGCACAAAAATAGCGCCCCGCCCACATCCTCGCACTCGCCGAGGACGCGCGCGCGATCAGGTGACGGCCTGAAAGCCCGGTCCGCCCTGCGCGCATTCGACGAGCGGACGGCCTGGCGCCCTCGCGCAGACGTAACGCACTAGAACTCGTCCCCCGTGGCCGCGTCATGAATGCCCCCGAGGATGGTCCGGCGTGCAGTGCCTGGCCCGCGCGACGGTCACGAGCTCGTCGCCCCGTCGCGCGTAGCGTCTCCCCGCGGGCCTGCGGTACGGCGCGCGGCGGAGTCTGACTCGCGAGTCTCCAAGTCTGACGCGAACCCGGACGTACTTATAGTGCCCGGGACGCGCGCGGTGCGTGCCCTACAACTCCAACTCCACCGCGAGAGCAAGAAGTCGGCGACATGGCACCCAGCCGCCTCGCCACCGCCGCGCTCGGCGTGCTCGCGCTCATCAGCGGGGCGCTCGCCATCGGGCAGCCCACCTGCGTCGCCTTCGCCTCCTCGCCCTCGACCTTCCCCATCGTCTCCGCGCGCAAAGCCGCGCCCATCCTCCTCTCCCCGGACGAATGGCCCGGCGTACAGCGCGCCGCGTCCGACTTTGCGTCCGACATCGAGATGGTCACTGGGGTCAAGCCCGCTCTGCGCAACGTCACTACGACCCAGGCCCAGAGTCAGAGCCAGAGCCAGGCGTTTGGAGCGAACGTGGTGATCGTGGGCACGCTGGGCCACTCGGCGCTGATCGACGCGGTCGTGAACAGGACGAAGCTCGACGTGTCGGGCATCGAGGGAAAGTGGGAGGCGTTCGTCGCGAAGGAGGTCAAGGACCCGCTCCCGGGCGTGCAGAGCGCGTACGTGATCGTCGGGTCGGACAAGCGCGGCACGATCTTCGCCCTGTACGACCATTCCGAGCAGTTCGGTACGCGCCCCCTCCTGCTCTAGCAGCACATATTCACGCTCAATTGACCACTTGACCACTTGCGCAAAAGGGGTGTCGCCGTGGTACTGGTGGGCAGACGTGCCGACGACGAAGCACGCGAGCCTGTTCGTGGCCTCGCGCGGGTGCGCGCACGGCCCGCCGACGGTGCAGTACCGCGCGATCTTCCTCAACGACGAGCAGCCCGCGCTCCAGAACTGGGCGATGGAGAAGTTCACGAACGGCACTGGGGCTGCCCTGACCGGCTCGCCGTTCAACCACTTCTTCTACACCAAGCTGTGCGTACCTGTATGCACGCGCAGAGAGCGAGGTGCTGACGGCGATGGGCAGGTTCGAGCTCATCCTCAGGCTGAAGGGGAACCACCTCTGGCCCGCCCAATGGAGCAGGTACCGTCCTTCCCCCCTCCTCCCCCCCTCCCTCCCCATACTAACCCCTCGCCCAAAGCGCCTTCGGCGTCGACGACCCGCAAAACCAAGCCCTCGCGGACTGGTACGGCATCGTGATGGGCACGAGCCACGAGGAGCCGATGATGCGCTCCATCCCCGTCGAGTGGAACCTGTTCGGCAAGGGGCCCTGGGACTACAGCGCGAACGCGCAGGCGATATACGATTTTTGGGTGCAGGGCGCGCAGCGGGCGAAGCCGTACGAGAATATGTGGACGGTCGGGATGCGCGGGAATGGTGAGTGCTCATAGTATGGGAGGAGTGAGGGAGGCTGATGCGAGCGTTGCTTAAAGGTGATCGTAAGTACTCGCACGCGAGCTCGAGAGACGAGGGCGGTCGAGCTGATAGGGAATGATATGTAGTGCCCCTGGAAGGCGAGGGGAACAACATCGAGCTCCTCGAGAAGGTCGTCGCCGACCAGCGCCAGATCCTCATGAACGTCTACAACACCACCGACGTCACGCACATCCCGCAGGTCTGGACGCTCTGTACGTTCCCCCGTACATTCCCCCTTCTATTCACACCAGCTGACCAACCGCGCTCGCGACGTAGACAAGGAGGTCGAGGGGTACTACGACGACGGCCTGCGCGTGCCGGACGACATCACTCTCATGTGGACTGATGACAAGTGGGTGATTGGGCTCTTGACCTGGAAGCAGGTGTTGATGAGATGATTCAGCTGGGGCAACGTCCGCCGCAATCCGCGTCCGAGTGAGCGCAACAGGACTGGTGGTGCTGGTGTCTACTACCACGTAAGCTCTTCTGACCCATACGCTGGATTTCGGATGCTGACTATGTGATGTGTAGGTTGACTACGTCGGCGACCCTAGAGATTACAAGTGGATCACTGTACGTTCCTTCTGCGATCGACCACAGTTATATCAGCTCTGACACGGATTCTCTCCCGCAGAGCAGCCAAATCGAGAAGGTATCTTCACCCCAGACCGCGCACCCCGTCCAAACGCTCACACAGCACACAGACCTTCGAGCAAATGTCGCTCACCGTCGCGCGCGACGCCGTCAAGATCTGGGTGCTCAACGTCGGCGACATGAAGCCGTACGAGATGCACACCGAGTGGTTCCTCACGCTCGCCTGGGACGCCGCGCGCTGGACGCCGCAGAACTACCCGAGCTTCGTCGTCCAGTGGGCCGAGCGCGAGTGGGACCTCTCCCCGCAGGACGCGGGCACCGTCGCGGGCCTCATTCATAACGTCACGCGCCATAATATGAGGCGGAAGCCGGAGCTGCTGAACTCGACGACGTATAGTCTGGTGAACTACCGCGAGTGCGTCTTTTTCGCTTTGCGCTGGTCTCGGTCGCAGTAACTGAGTGAATGGCATAGGGCGGAGAACGTTGTAGCGGAACTGCAGAGCATGGTCGCGGTCTCGACGCAGCTGTACAACAAGCTCCCGTCCGACGCGAAGGCGTCCTTCTTCCAGCTCGTGCACCACCCGATCCTCGCGACGACGACGCTCACGCAGATGTGGGTCTCCGCGGGCATCAACAACCTCCGCGCGTCGCAGGCGCGCCTGAGCGCGAACGACTACGCGAACCAGGTCGAGAGCCTGTTCATGCAGGACGCGCAACTCGAGAAGGACTACCATAGCTTGTTGGACGGTATGTGGCCTTCCTAAGCACAGTGGGAGTGCTGAGCTGACTTATGCACGGTCTCTAGGTAAATGGTGAGCACAATTCGCAGGGGAGCAGCACGGCCGGTTCTGACATTGTACAGGGACCACATGATGGATCAGACGCACGTTATGTACTACTACTGGCAGCAGCCCATGACTAACACGTACGTTCCTCCCAGCCACCACTTCTGTTCGCGATACTGACCGCTTTCCCTAGGATGCCGATGATCACCAAAGTCCAGCCCTCGAAGCAAGCTCTGGCAGGTGCGATGCGCATCGTCCCCGAAGGAAGCATGGGAGCCTGGTAAGTCTCTCGTTCCTCCGAATACCCCATCCTTCGAGTGACTAACGCCACTGTACACAGGCCCGGCGACAACGTCAACAACTGCGCGCAAGGCTACGGCTGCCCCAACCCAACCATCACGATCGACCCATTCGTCCCCACCGGCAACCGCTTCGTCGACGTCGGCGCAGGCGGTCCGACACCCTTCACGTTCACCGTCACCAGCAACGCGTCGTGGGTCAACATCTCGCCCGCGAAGGGCTCTATCTCACCGAGCTCCCCGGAGCAGAGGGTCTTCCTCTCCATCGACTGGGGCAAGGTGTCTGGCGTGCAGACCGCTGTGTTGACCTTCACGGCGTCGCCTCAGGGCCAGTCGAAGATGTCGGTGCCTGTTACGCTCGTGGCGAACCATACCGTTGTCCCGAGCGGCTTCAAGGGTGAGTCTCGCAACTATGTCGTTGAGGAAGATTGAGGCTGATGATGACTCGCTAGGCTTCGTCGAGGGTGATGGTGCTGTCTCCATCGAAGCCGCGCACTCCTCCAGGAACACGACCGTGCAAGGCATCACCTGGACTGAACTTCCTGGCCACGGAAGGACGCTCTCAGCTGTCACGCCATGGCCTCGCGGTGGCAACGAGCTGAACTTCACCGCGGGCAGCGGCCCTAGCATGTGAGTTTCGTTTCTCCCTCTCTATCTTCGCAGTTGCTCATAGCACCCCTCAGCGAGTACGACTTCTTCCTCTTCAACACCAAAAACCAAGGCGGCAACGTCACCATCACGACGCTCGTCTCGCCTTCTCTCAACACCCTCGGAGACGACCGCCCGCTGGGCATCGCCCTCCAGATCGACGACGGCGCTCCGGTGACCAAGTACTTCGTGCCCAAGTCCGTGCCAGGACAGGTCCCCGCGCCATGGAACGGCGTCGACGGATGGGTAGCGAATAGCATAAACTCTGTTCCGATGGTGCTCCCCGTACAACCCGGAGCACATACGTTGAAGGTAAGCTCCACCTAGCCTTCATGCAGGAGATTTTGTCTGACAAGCTATTGCTAGGTTTGGATGATCGAGCCCACCGTTGTAGTCCAAAAGATCATTATCGGTGCGTACCGTCCTGCCCACCTCTGGCCCGGTGTGTGTACTGACGCTCCCGTCCTCAGATACCGGAGGTGTTCGCCCAAGCTACTTGGGCCCTCCAGAGAGCATCCGTGTATGACTTGTGGGTTGGTCGGCAAGCATGCCACTCTGTACAAAATGTTCCTTATGAGCTTCTACTACACATTCCTCCTTTCTCAAGCTCATGGCTTACGCCGTCGACGTTTGAAAATATGAGGCCTTGGTCATATACTCCCGGCCTTTGTGAGGCGCAGCATCTGTACTGACGCTAGCGGGCGCTATGACACGCTCTCGTCGTCTAATGGCTATGATATCAGATTCCTATCGGCTTTGGAGGTTATCTGAAGGTTCCGGGTTCGAGTCCCGGCGGGAGTAGTAGGATACCCTTTTGGCGTTGCTCCCCTACGTCTTCTATGATTTTATCAGCCGAAGCTGAATGTCCGACTCTAGAGTGATTTTCCAGGAAAAGTTTTCACGTCGCTTAGCCTCGCTTAAGGTCGATGACGCAAGCTGATTGGTCGGAGCCTCTAACAATTGTTACTGCAAGACCACCCTTCTGAGAGAGGATGTTCATTTGCATGAGATGAGGGAAAGCGTTCAGTATGGTTGCCCTATATGGGCAAGCGGAATGCTTCCCACGTGGTATCGAGTCCGAAGAAGTCGGACCGGCTTCCTGCTTTCAACGATCACTCTCAGCCTGCGGGCCTGCCGCCTCGAGGCTATCGTTTCTCTCCAGCTGGCCGCTACTCTTTGGAATTTTGCCTTCGATCCTTCTGCCTTGTACGATGACGGAGAAGACGCTGAGTAAAGGCACTCTCAGCCTGCGATTTATGCAGAATGCGCAGCGGGCAAAACTCCAAGCGCAGGTAGAACTTGAGCAGGCGAAGATCAAGGACGACGCGGAGTGGTCCGTTCCGCAGGAAGTGAGGGATGCATGGGGAATTGGAAAGAGCTCAAGCTCAAGGTGCGTCTAGATGCGGTCAGCAAGAGCGGTGCTGATTCTTAGAGAATGTCCGCATACGTGATGTTAGTAACGATGTTGTGCACGAGGCATCCTATGTGCCCTTCATCTTTCAGTCAGATGCAGGGGAAGCGTCATCTAGCTCATATCAGGAGGAGAGGCCAAAACTGAGGGGAAGGCGTACATTCAACGCACGAGGGGTAGAAGTGGTGCAGGAGGTCAGTTTGGTGTTTTCTGCCACGAGCGGGGCTGAGCAACTCGCACAACTTCAGGATAAGGCTCCAGAGGACGAGCAGGAAGCGGTCCCAGATACCCCAGACGAGAAGCCCCGCTCAAAATTTGAAAAGAGACCCACCTCGATATCCGGCTTCAAGGCTCCCATCTCGACAACGAAGGATGGGAAGAAAGCTCGAAACAAAACGGCGCAGATGCTGATTCGTGAGGACGTCTCTGTACGACCACCAGCCTCCATGCAGCCGCCACCGCCACCGATAAAGATGGAGGAGGGCTTCCTCAAGCCTGCAGGTGTGGACGAACCCGTTCGCACAGCCCGGAGAGCGCCTACAGACGGCCGCAAACGGGAACGAGACTTTGACAACGACCCCAATCGCCCCGGGTCAGAAGGGAAAAAGCGGAAGAAGAAGAAAGATGCGAGTGCATGAGCTGGTTGCATCCTTGGCTTCCGACGTGCCGACCTTTGTGGCGCCGCCGATCACCCACGTCGTGGCGTACGTTCATAAGTCCTGCTGTGCGCAAGCGGTCGTGTATTGTATATCGTACGTTATGCCGGCTGATTCTTCCTACTACTGTTTACACTTCATTCACCAGGATATCAGGTTGTCTTCTGTATGTTACGCGGGGGATGAGCCAACTTGATCTGCGGGCGGCTAGTAGTGTCCGTCCTCCCATGTGAACGCGGTCAAGAAGTCCATACATGCCCCGGCAAATAATAGAAGAGCAGAGAAGAGCTCGCCGCGAAGACCTCATATCCTCGCACGATGGCCTCTGTCTTCGCGGATCATGCATGTCTTCTCTTTCCGCTGACATGCCCCCATCTTGGGAGAACCGTACGTATGTGAATCCCGAAAGAAGCGCCTATCTGTATGAAAAGAGAGCTCCTACGTCTATCTCCTCGCTTGCACCGCTGTCTTGATGTCGACACCTTCCACTGATTCGAGCTCACCACTCTCCGACCTGCGTCGAATGGTCGAACCACGAGACACTGGGAATATCCTTCATCACCCTGACACAACGTCGACCAGGGTACGACTAGCGGTCGCAGATCCTCATGATTGCCAATACATGTCTTGAAGTTGAGTTCGGTGATAGCACCGCCGTCGCTTACTCACTTGGTCACAGCTGAAGCAGTCCAGCAAGCCGACTCGACCCCGGCAGTTACATAGCCACAAGATCAGTAACAGCCCGCTCAATCCCGAGTCTCAACACATCCTGTCCCGAAATGGTCTCGAAGGTATGTTCCTCGTCTCAGCTGCCCCACAAGCGAGAATATTGCTGAGAGACGAGAGAGGGGTAGAACGGATGGGCCAGATCCGCTCCTCCCCGTCGCGTACTACTGAGACCTACGTTTGGAAAAACGGCGTAGGGGTCGTCTCAGCCTGCCCGAGCAGCTGACACTTAGCTCCGCCTCGATACGGAGTGCTGTCAACCTCGAAGGTATATAAGGCGGCCATCCTTGCCTCGCTTCACCATCAGCTTCCGCTTCTCACTACTTCTCAAAACAACTGTCTCTCAAGTAAGCCAGTTGCACCTCGCCGTGACATTTGCCCGTCTTACACATCGCACCCCAGGTAGCCCGCTACGATCCAGTATACAAAGATGAAGTTCGCCGCTGTCTTCGCCGCCCTCGCTGCCTACGCCGTGTCGCAGGTCTCCGCCAACGCTTCCATCGTTCGCCAGTACAACGCGCTCGGCGCCACCGACCAGGCTGCGCTGCACAGCTGCCTCCAGAACTACCGCTGGGACAACTGGGTTAGTCTCAGCTTCCCGATTTGATGAGCGTTCTCTTGACTCTTTGCAAACAGGACGGACAGGACTGCGGTGGCCGCGGCTGGTTCAAGGGCAGCCACAAGTACAAGAATCCGCTCAACTGCTACGATGCTTGCGCAGGGCTGCTCGTACAGGCTATCAACCAGGGCGCATCCGACGTCGAGTGCGACGATTTCGAGGGCAGCGCGAAGTGCTGGATGGGCTTTCACTGAGGATGCAGCGTCGGCTGTCTTGCTCTGATCATATTGGGGTCTAATGCTACATCTCGGGCTTTCATCCGCTACGATATCTCCAACCACTGTTCATGAGACTGAAGTTTAAAACGGCTCCGGAGCACCCTTCTCTCAAACCGTGTGATTCCACGGCATCTAAATGTTGGCAACGTACAGCTCTCTAGCCGTCCGCGTATCCTACGAGCGTCCTCGTAACGTCCTGTGTGCCCACCGGGAACCTGTACCTTGACCTCTGTTCCGCTCGCTCCTGTGGAGCATTACGTCGCTTTGATAGGTGCATAACCATGAGCCTCTTTGGTCCGGAGGGCATGGCACGTTGACCGATCACTTTGAAATCCAGTGGGACTCCCGCTGGATGGATTGGCTATAAAAAGTGACCGAAGAGCTCACGTTCAGATCCAGTGCTCCGGCGTCCCTTGAGAATTTATCTGACGCCAGCCCCACTTGGCTCGGTAATCCAACAACCAGAGACCGCCCAACGCTGGGGTTATTGACCTCCGGCATGTCGTTACTTCTCGGCCCCTCTCCCTGAGAGCTTTTGCTCTGGCCAGTCAGCTTGTCCATAGCAGCCTAGAGCGTCTTTCGGCCTTCGAACACACGGAACCTGAGTGCACCCGGTTGGAGAAGTTGGAAGTCGAAGCAGCATATCCGCATTCCCACAGACGCCTTAGGTCCTGCGACACTTAGCGAGTGTCGTTAGAGGTGGTTCTCAGAGCGGCTCGTTCCTTGCGGCAGGTTTGGGCCTCCACGCAAAGAACTTGACAATGTGCTCAGGACCAGTTTTCCGGCCCCGATTCCCGTGACTAGTGACACGTCTACTATCCTTGCGTGTGCGTACGAGGCGCCACAGCAAGAGGACGTTAGCTCCCTGAACTTGTCGCCAGAAGGGACCACAAAATGGCCGCCGTCCCTCTTATCGAGGTCTGTCAACCTGTGCGAGCGGTGAGCCAAGCGACAGACATGCGGCAGAAGTGCTGACGCTACCGCTCCACGCTGGTCGATTCGTGGGCAACCGACTTCTGCGCAGAGAACGCCGCTAGCGGGTTCAAGTTTGTGGCGTGTCCGCAAGGTTTGTGCCTAACATAGCACTGACGAATCGCGTCTGCTGCAAGCAGCACGGGCAGAGAGACGCGCCCCGGTTCCTGAACGCCCTGCGGCGTTCTCCAGGCCATCGAGACGCCGAGCAAGCGGATTGCCAGGCTATGCGGGGGCGTGCAGAGCTTGAGCTTGAGTTTGAGCTTCTTGCTGAGGCGATGTCTGCCGCAAGCGCCATCGAGCCGGGCTCTGCAGCGTCTGCAGCACATGCTCGCACCAGCATCTTGCACCGAGTCGCGTCCAGTCCTCGTCTGTGCTGGCATTTTGAGGCGATCTGCGAGGGTTTGCGGCCCGAGCGACCTCGATCTACTTGAGGTAAACCGGGAGAGAAGTACGACGTGTGGTACTTGAGTTGCGGATACTGATGTGTGGCAGTAAGAGGTTTTCCTTGTCGGTACTCCGGAACTTGTCGCGGAGTTGGCGCGCCCGACAGCCGTACCGGACAGCGCACGACCGAAATAGCATGAGACTCCAGAGACCACCCAAGTAGAGGGTGGACTATACATCACTCGTGTCTCGGCGTGGCATGCACGGCTCGGAACTTCGAGGAGAGGATTCTTGCGGTCAGCAAGCGCTGTGGCCATTCAGTGTGGAACACGGCTACGTGAAGAACACCGTATGCCCTATCCTCAGACGATAGCCAGAAGGTTCTGTCAGTGACGCCTGCCTCAGCTAATACGCGCAGCGAATGGGCAAAGTGATACTCACGAAGGAGGGGACGATCTATGCGCTGGACCAGCGACGCGCCGACATCGAAGGACATGGCCGTAAGCGGCGGCTCGTGATACTTATATTGGCGCCACGCTAGACGGTCACATTCCGGAAAACCATATGGATGACATCGCGCGTGGGACCTTCGTGGTCCCAGATACCCTGAGCCCTCCTAGGGCGGTAAGCGGATAGCCGCAGCGAGCAGTATCACGTTGACAGGAGAGTGCGTAACATGGAACAATTCCACGAACTTGGGCAGGTATCGGCTTCTGAATATTGATCTGCGATGCTAGCGGACTCCTGTTCGAGCGCATGACATCACGAGGCGGCCGTCCGTTCGCGCCCATACGCCTGCAGAAACGCTGCAA